GGCGGAGGATGGCGATGGCGGCGGCGGCGCACAAAGACGGCGATCGCGGGCGGCCCGGGCAGGGCGAGCCCCCGCCCCAGCCCTCCCCCGGGATTTACTACCCAGCTGTTCCCACACTGCAGCCCGGTTTATTACGCTGGGCGCGCGCGCGCGAGCCCGTGGAAGCCGAAGGGCGTTTATCACACGGAGGGGGACCGGGTGGAGAGGCTTCCTGGGCCGGGGAGGTGAAGGATGAATGCTTTACTGGACCCGGGCGGCGGCGATTGCCCGGGGGACACATTTCTCTCCCCAGCGCCCCGGCTGCAGCCCGCGGCGAGATCAGGAAGGGGCGGGGGGAGGTTGTTGGACGGAGGAGGCGGGGCCTCCGGGGCCCTGCCCCGTCACGTGACCAGGAGCTCCGCCCACCCCCCACCCGGGGCCGACTGTTCTCTGCCCTCCCTGCCTGGTTCCCCCAAAGAAGGCAAGGCTGCCTTCCAGCAGACACGGAGCCACCACCCCGCATCTAGAACCTCTGACAGCCCCCACGAGGGGCTCCGGAGGAGGCGGGGCCTGAACCAAGCCCCCCCCATGCTGCCCAAGAGTGGTGCACACCCGATGTTCCCTAGGAAGTCGCTAGCGAGCAGGATTGTACATGCATTTCCGGGACTACTACACACCTAAAGCCCACAGCAAGAGTGTTTCCTGGCCAGACACAAGAAGCCAGAGAGGCCAGGGCTGGCACCTTCTGCCCACACCCAAAATAGTCTGCTCCATGCCTCCCACACCCAGAAAAAAAAATCACTGGACCAGTAAAACACTGGAGACCATCAAGAATCGTTCACATTCCCCACACACCCGCATTCTAGAAAGAAAAACAACAACAACGAAAAAAAAAACAACCATTAATAATAGCCAGCAAAAGCCGGGCACCCGTGTGGCTCACACATGTCATCCAAGCCACGTTGGAAGCTGAGATCTGAGGATCTCAGTTCCAAGCCAGCTTGGACAGGGACATCTGTGAGACTCTTATTTCCAATAAACCACCAGAAAACCAGAACTGGCACTATGACTCAAGTGGTAGAGTGCTAGTCTTGAGCTGAAGAGCTGGGGGACAGCGCCCAGGCCCAGAGTTCAAGCCCCACAAAAAAAAAAAGCTAGCTGACCAGACTCACAACATAATCGCATCCCCTGCCAGCTAGAATGACCCACGCAGTGCAGACTATCTACTTGTGTCCCTGCAGTCTCAAAAGCCATGACAAAAGCCTTCTGAGAGATCTAAAATTGTGGGAGGATAAAGCTCCCGCACAATCCAGAATAAAAACTATCCTAGGTGCCTACAAGTAACACCAGATCCTTTGGTGTAGGGAGATCTGCACTGGCCCAGGTCCCTGAGCTCCAGTTCTCTCTTGATCTGGAATCCTGGAACTTGTCTTCACCACTCTTAAACCCATGCTTGGCCATAAACCATGTGGTCTGAATTCTACCAAGCAAACACACTCATACCCAGAATTAAAATATATGCTGGCTCTTTTATAAGCTCAAGGGATAAATCCAGAAGCCCTGGAAGCTAATGACTCAGAGCTGAGCTGGGAAGGACCCTTCCTTCCCAGGCTCCTAAGAGCACCAGAAATGAAGGCTGAGGGGCTCACAGCTCCTCAAGAACTCTGAAACCAGAAATTGGGAAGCAGGAGGGTGGCACCTCCTCAATCCATTTTTAGGACCCAAATGTGCTGGCCCTGCCATGCCCCAGTGTGCCACCAGGAGTGTCACTGGTGTCTGGCAGGTGGGCAGGGACTTTATATAACAGGGGTTGGGGGATGGGTGGGGAATGGGGAAGAGGTGAGGAGGAGGCAAGTAGAAACTCAAGACTCCAAGAAGGGAAATGGAGCAGTAGGTGAAGCCTGGCCTGGCCTGGCCTTCAACCCAGCATGGAGTCCCCAGAGAAGTCAGTTCTCACCTCCCCAGGTAGTTAAGGTGAGCCAGAGGAGGGGTTCAAAATAACAGATGGCCTCCTCTCTTCTCTTCCATCTTTTCTGGGCCCTATCTGTCTTCCTCTCAGTCACTTCACCTTCCAGACTGGACCATCTACCTCCAACCACATCCACCCCTGTGTTCCACAGCCTCCAGCTCCTCCTTTCGTTCTTCATGGCCCTGGGTGGCCATTGGCCACCTTTTTCCTCTGCCCAGCCAGAGGACAGCTATCTCTGAACCAATCCCAAGGCCAACATTCCATAGATCTCCTCTATTCCCACCCAAGCTCCTTCTGCCCATGTCCCTGAAGTATCAGAAGCCATAACAAAAACCTTCTGGAAGATCTAGAATGGCGCGAGGATGAAGCCGCCTGGGCCCATGCTGGTTCCCTCTGCCCCTCTCCTGCTCTTTGTCTGCGCCTTGGACTCGCCAGCTCCTGGGGCCTCCTTCCAACCTGCCCATCATTCCTACACCAGCACCTCTCTCCTACGGCTTCCTCTTTCACCTCCGCTCCTCTTGCCCCATCAAACACCCCCTCCAGGACACCTGACCCCCCTCTTTTCCTATCCCACTCCTTCATGCCTCACTTTGCTGCCCAGAAAGACCATGGCCTCTCCGGGCACCTTTGCCAGCACACTGGACCTCAGGGGAACCAAAC